ACAGCTCGGTGATGATCTTCCGCTTGATGAGGTCGAGGCCGCTCTTCATGTAGGAGTGGACGTTCATGCAGGACCAGTAGAACGTCTTGAGCTTCCACTCGATGCTGTTCACGTCCTGCGGCTCGTCCATCGTGTCCAGCAGCTCGCGCATCTCCGCCAGCGCTGCGGGACAGAACAGGGAAGGGTCAGGCGAGGTCACTTTGCTGGGGAACGAGGGCAGGTCATGGGAAAGGTCAGGCGAGGTCACTTTGCTGGGGGAACGAGGGCAGGTCAAGGCAGAGGCAAGATTTACATTGTGTTAAGGAGAGGGCAGTGACAGGGTTAAACGAGATAGACCTGCTGTGGGAACGAGGGCAGGTCAAGGGAAGGGTCAGGCGAGGTCAGATTGCAGCGGAGACGAGGTCATTTTGGTAGAATGGAATTTCCAGCAGTGAATGATAATTGTAATTTTAATTGTAATGATAATAACAATGATATTGATAATAATAACAATGATATTGATATTGATAACAATGATATTGATAATAATAACAATGATATTGATAACAATAACAATGATATTAATACAAATAACAATGATATTGATAATAATAACAGTAACATTGATAATGATAACAATGATGACCATAATAACAATGATAGTAATGACAATGATAACTTGAACAGAGAAACTAGGCAATGTGAATAGAGGGGGGAGGGGAGTTAGATTAGATGAGAGATTAAATACAAAATGAACTCATAAATGAAGTCAGTTTAAGAGTAAAACGTGTGAAGGGAGAATACGCCAGGTTGAGTAGGAGATGAAGGCAGTTTAAGAGGAAAACCTTGTAGGCTTCTGAAGGACAAAGATTCTTATGAAAAAAGCCTCTTACACCAAAATTATAATAATAATATTGATAATATTAATAATAATGATAATATTGATAATATTAATAATAATGATAATATTGATAATATTAATAATAATGATAATATTGATAATATTAATAATAATGATAATATTGATAATATTAATAATAATGATAATGATAATAACAACAGCAACAATAATAATGATACTGCTGCTACTACTACTACTACAACTACTACTACTACTACTACTACTACTTCTAATAATAATAATAATAGAACAAAATCTGATGAATAGATAAATATATAAAATCAAATAAACTCGATTCGATAAGATTAATTAATCTCGATTAAGAATATTTAATTCACCCCATCCACATTTACAAACAAAACAGATAAAACAAAGTAACGATGAATTATCCGCATTTCCGAAGTCTTAAGATAAAAAAAAATATGTCCATTGAGCTTGGAGGTTTTATTAAACAATCAAACGAATTCGTAAGTAATTTCCTCTTTCCTCTTGAATACCTTTTTTTTTATCTCTTTGTCTCTTGCTATTGGATATTGCGTCGCGTCTCCCTTTCTCTTCGTTTGCCTCTTCCTCGTTTCTCTTCTTGTCTTTTGTCATTTTGTTATTTACTTCTCTTATTCTGCTATTTGTTTTTTGTTTGTTGTTTTTGTTTCTTTTTCCCCTTTTCCATTTTTTTTCTTTTGCTTTCACTTCTTGCTTTTTCTTTTTCGCTTCCTTTTTCTTCCTTTTCTTGTTCTTTCTTTTCTTTTCTTTTTCCTTTTCTCTTTTTCTTTTCTCTTTCATTCATCTTTTCTTTTTATTCACCTTATCCTTCTTACCAATTTATGCCTGTATTCTCATTTTCTATTCTATTCCTTTCATAAACATAAACTTTCTTTCTCTCTCTCCTTTTATTTTCTCTCTTCTACTCTCACCCTTTATTCTCTCTCTCTTGCTCTTTCTTTTTTAAATGTATATATGTGCATGTGCTTACACGTAAACATACACTCGTACGTATACGTAAATACGTGTAATTTTACGCTCGTCCATACGTACATGCGTGTATGTGCATGCGCGTAATTGTATAAAACGTCCATACGTGCACGCGTGAATGTGCATGCGCGTCTATACGTTCATACGTGTATGTGTATGTACATCCATACAAACATGTATGTGTATGCGCGTCTACACATACATACGCGTATATGTACATGCATCGATACATACATACATGTAAGTTTATACCCGATGTATCTTTCACGTGTGCACACCGGCAATATAAACACGTGGGCGACAGAGCGCATTCGGATCTCGAGCCAAGATGATGCAGCATCTCATTCCGAGGAGAGAACGAAGATGACGAACATGAGGAAAATGATAAAAAAAAAAATGATGCAAAACGAAAGTGATAATGAAGGTTTCTGTGCACGCGAGTAAGCATGACGGTAAGGCCTTTTGTTTGCGAGATGAGCGAGTAATGAGTAAGATGCTTTACATGCCTCGAGAGCAAACAGATGGGAGATGAAGAGAGATGCTTATCAACCGGAGATGCAAGGCAGTGCGTCTTGGGTCTTTGACGCCCTTTTTTTATATTCATTATTATCTTTTTCTTTTATCATTTTGGTTTTGTCTTTGCCTTTG